GGAAACAGAAATCTCCCAGGGCTGTCACGCACCCTGTATCACACAGACGCTAGGAGGCCAGAGGCAACAGCCAGGAGGAGCTCACACGATGCCTTGCAACATCCCACAAAATGGCTGGGAAACAGCCGGCACGACTGCTTTTAAAAGTTAAGTTTCTCCAAGGGCCACGCACACCGTCCGTAACGTTTGTGCTAGGAGAGCAGGACCAGTTGTTCAAGTCTGAACGTCCTCAGTACGCTTTTGCTTTTAACTCTTTCTTTCCCGGTATCGAATGTTCCTAGGTATACTAACGGCAGTGGGGATCATAACCCAAACCACATATGTCAGTAGAAGATCTTCAGAAGGAAACAGGAAAAAAACCAAAGATGAAAAACCAAAAAAGCAGCCAGTTACAGGCACAACTTGCCCAGGGCTATTGAGATATTTGGTACGCCTACGATTTTCTTTCAATTAAAGGTAAGTTTTGGGGCGCCTGGGTGGCTCAGTCAGTGAAGCGTCCAACTTCGGCTCGGGTCATGATCTCACGGTTCATGGGTTCGAGCCCCGCGTCGGGCTCTGGGCTGACAGCTCGGAGCCTGGAGCCTGCTTCGGATTCTCTGTCTCCCTCTCTCTCTCTGCCCCTCCCCCGTTCACACTATGTCTCTCTCTGTCTCTCAGAAAATGAATAAATATTAAATAGTTTGAATACATTGTTTTAAAAATGTTTTCTAAGCAATAAGATGGAATGTAACTGGTGAATCATGGCAACTCTAAGAATTTTCTTCTACCGTTAACCAGACCAGCAGAGACCTCCCTTTAGTGTTTCACGTGCATCCCTGGTGGCCGTCACAACAATCATCCGACCCGACAGCCAACTGTCTCCCCACTGGGTGCCTATGCTGGCTGGAAGCAAGAGGGAGAACACACATGGAGGATACTCGCTTGCGCTTCCTTTCCAAAGAAAATGATACAAGAGGCTACTTCTCCCGTCCACACGTTCCTCTCCGGTGAAGACAACGTTACACTGGGAAGTCTTCTAGAGGATGGATGGCAACGAACCCCGATGGTGGTGATCATTTCACGATAGACGTGGAAACAAAAACCCACCACGCTGGACCCCTCATACGTGTACAGTGATGCATATCCATTTTATCCTAATAAAACTGGAGCGGGGCGGGGGGGATTCTCCTAAAGACCTAAGAGAAAGCAGCCACCAAAGCACCCTGCAAGGAAAAGGTAGAAATCACACCCTCGGCCACCGTTCACGCCTTGGTAACCACACCTGCGTGGCCGGGGCCATGCCGCGAACCTGAATCCCAGAATTCGGGGCTATACATCGAAGGAGGTAGGCACAGTGGATTCCCACGATCCCTCCCCGTTCCACTTTTAACAGTGTAATAGCAGTTTGCAAATGGGAAACTCTGTGGACACACGGGGCGTCACGTGGAGTACATAACCCACGCACGCACACACCCGAGAGGGGCTCGGTGGTTAACGCGTCTTTGCAATCCATCTGGCGCGTTCTCCCACCCCCACGATTTCACTGCCCTTTCGCGCGAGTGACCCCAAACGGTGGATCTCAGTTCAGCACGTTTCAAGGTCAAATGATGCAGCAAACAGAATTTGACCTCGAACAATACGCCTTTGTCCGTTCAGCCATCCACGAAAATGTGTGCACGCGCTGCGTTTCCCCCGCTGCAAGTTCATAAATCTTTCTCCCAGATTGCTCGCCTCTTCATCTCACGCCTACGGAAAAGAAAAGACATCTGGATGTGTTTGTTCCTCCCCCTCCGCCCCCCACGCCCCCATCCCCTCAATACACACGCAACAGCCGGAAGAGCAAGGAGAGCATGTTTTTAAAATTCCATCGGTTCGTGTAGGCACATAATCTGAAGCAGCCCCGAAATGGACATCGAGTAAAAAATACCAGTTTTCAAAAGTCTGTAATTATGTATTTACACAAATTACATAATCCTGTATGTATTTACATACAATTACAGATGATCAAGTAAATGACACAATGTTGTAGTGTTAATGAGATGAAATAGAAGGAAAACACCGTAAACTAAAGCCATTCGTTTCTCTACAAAACAGGACCTGGCAGGGACAGGTTCCCCAACACTGACCTGGCACGCCCTTCACACTGCCTGGGGACATTCACATGACAGATGGGAGGGTGGTTCAGCCCGTGCCCATTAAGTCTCTGACCAAGGTGCAAGCGTTGCCACCAGTAAGGTCGTGGTTTGGCCATCTGAACATCTGTTTCTGAAAACTGGAACCACCCACTCCACAGTGGCTCGGAGCAGCCGTCCGATGGGCTTTGGGTCTCTTACGACAAGAACCGGATGCAAAACCACTTGCTCTGAAGCCCCACAGGACGATGCCCATGCCCAAACCCTGAGCCATCTACTCTCCCAGAACACTTATTTACATAAATTGCATAAGCCAATGTTTATTTATTTACAGACCATTACAGTTTATTGTATCCATTGCCAAAAGCATGTAACATTTTGTTTTTCTTAAAAAA